GGGTGGTGGGCTGAGCGAGCTGATCCTTGCGCTCTGTGAGGAAACCGCTCAGGTAGCCAAGGCTCTGGCCAAGGAGACCTCTGGCAACGCCACTCCTCCCTCCCCCGCGTCCTCTCCCTCCCTCTTCCCCACGGCGGCAGAGCTGGAAGCATTCACAGTTAAGGTGGCGGCGGCGACGGCCTGGAATGAGTCAAGCATGCTTCGTGATGGGAGGGCGGGGGAAAGGGCGGGGGAGGGGGCAGGAGGGAGGACGGAGATCGAGTACTTGAATGGGTTTGTAGTCAGGGAGGGGAAGAGGCTAGGGGTGCCGGTGTCGAGGCATGAGGTCCTCGCGACCCTGGTACGAGCGAGGGAAGGAGAAAGGGAGGGAGGGAGGGAGGGAGGGAGGGAGGGGGGAGGGTAGAAGGGAAGAGGGTTGTCTGGTATCCTCTGAGAACGAGAAGCATCTGGAAATTTATATTTAGAAAGGAGTGTTCTCAAAAACTGAAACAAATGCAATTTATCACAAGTGTACATAAGTTTAAACAAGCGCTTCAGTCATAAAGGAAGTGTTCACGTCGTCTTAAAGAAAGAGCTAGACATTAAGACGTCGACGGTTCTATCATCCAAGTGTCGGCGTTAATCACAAAGGAGTGTTTCATGCAAGCCAGTGTCGGCGCAGGGTCCATCTAGGTGTGGGTGGCTTTCCACTCCTGCGCTGCTATCACTTGTTTGATACATTTTTAAAACGTGAACGCATTCACATACCTCTGCAGGGGAGCTTGAAGGGGAGTAATGAAAATCTGGGCCAGGAGGGGTGGAAAAGGAGGTAGAAGGAGGAGAGGAAGCAAGTGCTAAAGGAGGGTGCAAATGGTGCAAAGAGAAGAAAAGGAATCCTTTGCATGCAGATTGACCCGCAATAAAAGCAGAAACTTAGGGCTTACACCTGAGGAATCGGAATAGCTGCCATTTTCTCCGAGTCTTGTACATCGCAATTCCTCAGAGGCTTCCCACTCCCAGACCGAGTGCCTCTTAGACATGAAAAAAAGAAAAGGCTGTAGAATCCTTTTCACTCCTAAATATTGCAGATTTGAAAAGAAAATATAAATATTGAAGATTACTTGCCTGACATGTTCCGAAGAGCAGAAAACGCAAAGTAGAGGAGCAGGAGACAATGTATCACATGGTGGAGGCGATACATCATGCCACATATTACCGGGAAAAACCATAAAATATGACAGAGATAATGCCTTTTTCCCCTCAAGATTAATTAGGAAAAAGAACAAGCATAAATATTACAATTTTTCTGCAGGAAGAGTGTGTACGCTTTCGTAAGTTTTATCACGTGCTGTCGATCCTTCCTTCTAAGCGTTTACAATTTTGGGTGCATTTCTCGAGTCCCAACAGACGTCAATTTTTTACTTATCCTATAGCTGATCTTATATCTACCTACTCTCGAAAAAACGACAACAAAGACATCGCGTGCCGGACTGAGCATTGTTTTCCCGAAAATCTTCCGTCCCCCGACCTGAACGGTCCTCAACCCAACGGCTCTCAACGGCTGTCGAACATCCCGGGCCATGGAAGGCTCCGTTTCCCACATTCATGAGCCGCGGAGTGCTTCTCCCCGCTTTTTCATATCGTTAACACTAAATATCAATGTATGTATGAGAGAAGTCGGGAAAGTTTGTCGCATCCTTGCCACAATCTAGCGTAAAATTGTTTTGCGGGGAGTAGGAAGAAGTCGAGAGCCTGAATTGGCTCTTGCCTTCGCATTTTACATGAGGGGGTCGTTTAGAAACAAGTTTCGGTCCATTGCACTCTTCTTTCATGAAAGAGTCCAACAATGACGACACTTGTCGATTTGCTCAATCCGTGCTAAAAAACTGAAGTCTCTTGATGCCGTCGGCGCCAGTGACGACATAGGAAGGCATTTGGAGAAGATGCAGATGGTTGGCGACGCGGCAGAGGCTTTCTAGTCTTGACACCGATACATGTGTGATCCGAATCGAGAATAAAATAATAAATCAAAACACTCTGGGACCCGTGAGCGTCGTGTGGAGTGGCTGCACAAGACCTGTGGTGGACGCGTGGAGAGACTTGTCCTTTTGATTCGCATCGGCCTGCATTTCTTGACCACCATTCCCCCAATAATTAATAATACTAGCACAATCCATCGTTCGCCTTCCTTCTTTCGTAGGGGTACACGCTTTCTACCTGCGCTTCACAGAGAATGGAGGAGCAACCGGCGGAACAAGAGAGCCCTCGACCGGAGCTTTCCTCCACTGCGCGGAAGAATCCCTCTCCCGGTAAGAGCATAGTAAGACTGAGAGCGAATGAACGAGGAGGGAAGAGAAAGAAACGAGAAGGAGAAAGAATACGATGAGACGCTGTGAGTGTGGCAGGGCAGGGGTTGGGACGGGAGGGGAGAGGAGGCAAGGAGGGTAGACAAGGACGCTGTGGTTTTATTAATTTAAAATGAAATAATAGATCACTAAATAAGTCAACAAAAAAGGAAAGAAAGGAAGAAGGGAGATCCAGGGGGTAAGGGGAAGACGCAAGCGGAGAGAGAGGAGGGCGAGAAAAGGATACCAAGGGAGACAAGGCGGGTGGGCGTGTCATTCAGTTTAGTATGACCAAGGAGGGAGGGCACAGGGCAGGGGGAGGGAATCTGAGATCTAGAAAAGGTCTCGGCAATAGCTGGGCACGCCATCCTGTCTCACCACAACCTCTCAGAAGATTTAGTAAAAGTAAATAAACTCAAATATTATTTCCATCCTTTCCCCTCTATCCCCACGCCAACAGAACCCATGGTCGACTGCGCTTCAGCCGCGTCGTCTTCTCCCCTCATGCACCACCGTTCCACCTCTTCCGCCTCCCTCCTCCCCTCCTTCCCGCCCTCCTTCCCGCCCTCCTTCCCGCCCTCCCTCACCATCGACACCAGCGGCAGCCACAAGCCACGTCGAAGCAGCCCGCTCGCCACCCCTTCGGCTGGGAGAGAGGGCGGGAAGGAGGGCGGGAGGGAGGGCGGGCTCGGACGTCTCTCCCCCCTCTCCCCCCCAAGGCCGGCATTCCCCTCTCCTCCTCGCGCTCCACCAACATCTTCCCCCCGACAACCTTGCCCTTCCGCCCACACACGAGGCATCATTGCTCCCTGTAAAAACCGAGGCGTCATTGCCTCCCAGACAGCAT